TCACTCCATCACGGAGGGGTAGGGTCAAGGGAGTGGTTTGGGATTGGGCCGAAGAGAAGGGATTAGACGCCGCGGCAGACAGGGAGAATGAAAAAACATGGATACAAATCAAAGAAAACGAAAAGAAAAAGGTGGGGCCGAGAAGGCAAGAGAAATAAAGGTGAAGTCACTCGCAGGTGAAGCTTATAAATGTCGCAAATCGACAGACCTTTTCGGCAGCAGCGCTACAAGCACTATCAGCAGCAGCTTAGAACAAGTGCAAGATGATGAAGAGAATGATGAGGGCACAAGTTCAGATATACAGCCAGCCTCCTGCGTTCATGATGAGGGACAGAGTTGAGCTGCTGGAAGAACCAGCTCAACTGGCACATACACGTGCAGGGCAAGAGCAAGAGGTGGGTGAGAATTATCCCTTGAACTCAGTGGCGTTTTCTCCTGGAGGCCAAGGGAAGCCAGGCTTCCCCTGTTTTTTTTGCATTGTAGTTATAATATTAATAAATAAATAAAAACACTTCGTTTAGTTTCGGTAATTATTCTGCCGGCCCGTCTCTCCCCCATTCTCATTGAGTATTTTACAAAGAGTGAAACAGCGCCCCTCTAGATGTTATGGTGAAACAGTAGATTGCACTCTGTTGCGAGACGAGGCTAGCCAAAATTGGCTTCCCTTGGTGAAAAAAAATGGAGGGATTGACCAATCAGATGAGGCTCACGTCATGCCTCACAATCCAATCAAATCACATCAACTTCAGTTCGTACTGTAACTGCCATCACTGCCCTTAAAAAGTAGCAAGCAACTGAAGCAAGTGCAATTATGGAGGGTGGAGATTTGGAGTATTTCATCAAAAATAATTGTACTAAACTTCCGCTACAGCAGGAACTAAAAATGAAATCTGATGACAGGCCAATGATCAAACTGGAGCTGTGTACAGAGAGGGAAAAAGGAGTAAATCGGACGTAAAACTTTAAATAATAAACAGCGGATTTCTAACATTTGACATTTCATGTGGCCGGACTGGGTCAGTTTCCAGGGCTGAATTTTAGTCCCAGTCCGCCCCTGGTTCCGTGTGTATGCCCTGCCTATACGATCATTTTCTGATAATGATGAGGCAATAGCCCCGCCTCTCCCCACCTCTGCTGCTCACCCCCGCGTCAAAGTAAACTGCACACTGAATTCAGATTATTTATCTTTCTCTCGATATGGACATAAACGCGAGTGAAGTCTAATCTGACAGGACGGAGACACGCAGCTCTGCCCACCTGCAGCTCCTCCCGCTGTGATGCGGTGGTGAACGGAGCAAAAGACACACTTCAAGTCAGATCATCACCCTTAGCTATTTTAATTACCTCTCAAACTACCTAAACTAGTTATAAATATGTTTATTTTTACTGTCGGCCGGGTCACTCATTACTGGATCAGCTGCTGCATGAGACAGACACTGATGCTGTCAGAAGAGAGGGAGGAAAAAGAGAGGCTCCGTGTATTTTATTATTAAAATATATAGAGTCGTTATTCATTTGTTTTAAAGCTCAATAAATAACAAAGAAGACCTTTGACCGGCACTTTTATAATTTTGTCCGGAAGATTTAAACTTTAATACACGTTGACTGGTGAAAAACTCTGCCCGGTTCCCTTTGCCCCCACCGCGGAGAATAAACAGAAGGGCAACCATGACAACCATGCTTCTTCGCTGCTTTTGTGGAGGATGTTACAGCGCCACGTACAGGCTCAGCATATGTACTGCAGCTTCTCCAGCGGTTGGAGCTAAACGGAGCGGTCTCGTGTGGACACTATCCGGTGAATATTGCGTGTGGACGGAAGCTTTTTTGCGATTGCGTTTCCGTTAATCCTATGCGTTTAGCCGTTTTCGTCCTCGTGTGGCCGGGGCCTAAATGTATCTCTTTTCTATAGACGCCGGAGGCGGGCAGCGTCAGGTAAAAAAAAGTTATTTAGCCTTCCCAAACCTGAGCCTCACGCCGCATATGCATAACTCCTAATTAGATCAGCGGTTCCCAACCTTTTTCAACTCAGGGCCCACTTAAGCATCAAAAAGATTTCCGAGGCCTACATTCAACCATTAACAATACGGAGGCTTAATACAGTTCTGATTGGTCAATTCAGAACATGTGGCACGTTGTTAATCCAGTAGAACAGACCGCTGTCAAGGACTGTAATGACCGTTGCTAAGGAGGATCAAGAGAGAGAAAGGAAAAGAGGTTTAAAAAAACAAATCTTAATAATGAAAATGTTTCCACAAAAATCAAAATGTTTTGCAAATTATTTGGCGGCAAATATTGAATTTACTTTTACACCCTTTAATATTCAATTTGGGCTTCAAGATGAAGACCGCACACAGTTAATAAATACAACTATTCTTCTGGCCAAAATACATATTTTTAAAAGTCAATCAAGGAGTGATCTTAATTTAAGATGTTTGAAGAGTAGATTAGTAGTGGCTCAACACGCCATGAAAGGGGAGAGGAACAATAAATATGCCATGTTGTGTTTTTGGTGGTTTTTGGTTGTCAACATATTTTTGTTTGTGAAATGTTGAAGTGATCCTACTGACTGTATCTTTATTTCTTCTGTTTTTGTTGTGTTTGTGTCTGAGATGGGAATGTCATCTCCTATATGTTATTGATATGTTTTTGTCTTTACCCTGTACAAAATTCCCAATGTTAAATATAATATATAAAACAAATATGTAAAATATAAAATACACAGGTTAGTAGGCGCAGGGAGGGGAAATATTTTAAAGTGAAGTCAACCAAGTGTCCCTAAAAGTGTTTAAAACCCAGGCTGAGGTCTAGAGAGGTGGGTGAGACATGGGACACGCCTCGGATGATGTTTAAAAATACTTTCAGGGCTTATTTCAGGGTGTTTCTCTGCGGGAGGCTCCAACATCCATTTAAAATGGAAAGTAATGACTAAAATATAAATAAAACAATATAAACAATGTTTGAATAGAAAACGGGGGATTAATAATAAATACAAAATAATAAAATATATTATCTCCTCATTTGGATTTGATAAAATGAGAAACCATGCAATACAGTGCAAACATGAAATAAACTGTGACATGTAACATGTAAGTAATAATATAATATGTAAGAAAAATATATAAAATGGTAGTAATAATAATAATAATACAAAGAAAACCATGCATTTTAAAGATCATAAAGGAGTCCAGATGAGGAGGATTTGTAAAAGTAATGATAGGAAATATGTATAAAAAATAAATAATAAATACTACAATATAAATAAATAATACATTGATACATAAATAATTATATAGTTAATTTAAAAAGCAATACCCTTAGGTAATGTATATATAAAATATAAAATAGGGTGGAACTTCTGGTTTGCCATCACCGCAGTGAGGGGGTCTAAAAACATCCGGAGGGGAGAAGCACACGTCGGGAGGACAGGAGGGACCTCGTTGGGTTAGGGCAGGGGTCGGCAACCGCATGCGGCCCTTTAAGCCCTCTGCTCTGGCTCCCCCGAGCTTGGACAAAAATAAGAAGGAAATAAAATAAAAGTATTTGTAGGACTATTTATATTTTGTTGCATGGTTGAAAATGTTTCGTATCTTGTATGTTGAGGTGATACTGTGACACATAAATAAAAAACAAAACGGTTTTAATTAGGTCAACTAAAATATGCGTCACATCCTGCCACGGTCCCGCGCGAGCGCCTTTTCTTGGAGGCGAATAACCTGACCCCCGGCTCGATGAGCAAACTATGGATAAATCAAAGAAAAGTACACAGGATTTAATTTTGCGTGGACAGAGTTATCTGCTTTCACAGCAAACGATGCTGGCTTACCGGTATGTTTGATATGTAGAGAGAAGTTGTCAACGGTGCTGCAGCCTTTACGTATCGAGGAACAACACGGGAGAGGAAGACAGCTGACGATCTTCAGTCATAATTCAATGGGGTATGTAATTTACTTCAGAAAACACTTTTTGTTCTATTCCATGGAATTCTCTTAACGTCCCGATAGCAATGAATATATAAAATGCTTTGACAATAAATACATACAAAAATGAATCTCTGGAAGCCGTAGCGCTGTAAAAAGCACGACCAATCATCTGAGCCGGCCCGGCTAAAGTAATTGGATGGCCTACCTGCCTGTCAGCCTTCCATCTGGGCACAAACTTATCTCGTGCCCTCATTGGTCATATGCGCGTTCGTGTGTGTTGGAGGAGGGACTCTGTAAGAAAGTCTGAAGGAAGAGGCATATTTTTTCCGGTTGTGTACTTTCAAATTCTAGCGCACTCGAGCTGGTTTCTCCATTCTTACCTACCCTACCTTTAACTCTTTTTAGGGTGCAGCTATGTTTTATTTATTTCAAAGTGGGCCCATTTTAATAATATTTGTTTTCCTTCAAATGTGCAGAGGACTCCCCAAGTGCTGTGTTTAATTTATTTTAAAGTAGGCCTGTGTATTATTTTTAATTCTCCTTATAAGAGTTCTTTGTTTCTTAGAGGTTAACCGTAATAAATAACCTAATAAATGCCAAAAAACTGTAGTTTGTTTCTGATATAACAATACAACAACTATGAAATATGTTTTGCGGCTCCAGACAAAACATTTTTTTGGAAAAAGGAGCAAAATGGCTCTTCTGGTCAAAAAGGTTGCAGACCCCTGGGTTAGGGCGACGGCCCACTTGCAATGCCTTCGCGGACTACTAGTGGGCCGCGGCCCATATGTTGGGAACCGCCACCACAATCCACGCATCTACCCATCTTTCTATTTATTAAAAACGTAATCTGAAATATGAAACTGTATTTGTTTTCCTATTTATTTATTTACATTTTAGAATGATTTTATTACTTTATATATCAACCCTTAATGTGAACTTTTTTCTATACAAAATATATTATGTTAATTTCGTTCTTGAATACATAAATAAATAATTATACATTAAAAAAAAGGTCTGAATTACGCGGCGGCCGCTGATTGGCTGAGCCGTGTCCCGGAAGTGATCGCGTGTGTGTGTGTGTGTGTGTGTGTGTGTGTGTGTGTGTGTGTGTGTGTGTGTGTGTGTGTGTGTGTGTGTGTTGAGTGCAGGAATCTGTCGGTAACATTTGTGTGTGTTTAGCGGCGGGTTTTCTGCTCTACAACATGGAAACGTTTAATAAACTAAAACAGTTTGACGCTTATCCCAAAACTCTGGAGGATTTCCGAGTGAAAACGTGGGGAGGAGCGACCGGTGAGAAGCGTTATTTATTAAGAGAGAAGAAGAAGGAGCCACTGTTAGCTGCTGATGCTAACAACAAGGCTAATTCCTGCTTTAATTCATGATAAAACATACAGAAAACACACCGTTTTAAAGACCTAACATGGTCCCTTTAACGCAGTGTGACTGAGCAGCAGCAGCATTTTCTCCATTAGCTGTTACAATTAAACATATCAATATATTATAACCAGGCTGGTGATTAAAAGGCAACATATATCATTTAACAAGGAAAGCAAAGGTGGAAGAAGTACCCAGATGCTTCACTTACGTACAAGTAGTAATACCACATTGTATAAATACCCAGCTAAAAGTAAATGTCCTGTATTAACACTCGTAATTAAGTAAAAGTACAGAAGTATTAGCATCGAAAGATACTTAAATCACCAAAAGTAAAAGTACTCTTTGGCCTTTTCCTAATAGTATATAGTATGTATGTCTAAGTTGACTTATGGGAGGTATGCTATATTTAACCCGGTTTTAAAGGATGCTTTCAGGATATTATAGCACATTATAATCTGATTTATTGTGCAGTTATCATTACACTTTATATACTTTGTGTACTATATAAGAATACGTAATTCCCCACAGCTGTAAATAGCTGAATACGCTTGAAACATGCACCTTGAGACGCTTGATAAGTGCTTGATTTAGACCTTTGGAAAGGTGTAGGAACCCTGACAATAAAATGACACTTTATTGATCACTGGAGTACATTTTTTACCACTAGTTTGTTTGATGAATAGTTGGGCAGTGTCCAGTAGTTCAGTAGTACCTGAGTTTCAACAGTCACATTAAAACAGTTACTAAATCAGCCTACTATCACCTAAAGAATATATCTAGGATTAAAAGACTAATGTCACAGCAGGATTTGGAAAAACTTGTCCATGCTTTTATCTTCAGTAGACTCGACTACTGCAATGGTGTCTTCACAGGTCTCACTAAAACATCTATTAGGAAGCTGCAGCTGATTCAGAACGCCGCTGCTCGAGTCCTCACTAACACTAAGAAAGTGGATCACTCCTGTTCTGAAGTCTTTACACTGGCTTCCTGTGTGTCAAAGAATAGATTTCAAAATACTGCTGCTGGTTTATAAAGCACTGAATGGTTTAGGCCCAAAATACATTTCTGACCTCCTGCTAAATGATGAAGCATCCAGATCTCTCAGGTCTTCAGGGACTGGTCAGCTTTCTGTCCCCAGAGTCAGAACTAAACATGGTGAAGCAGCGTTCAGTTATTATGCTCCAAAGATCTGGAACAAACTCCCAGAAACCTGCAGGTCCGCTGCAACTCTGACTACTTTTAAATCTAGGCTGAAGACTTTTCTTTTTGTCGCTGCTTTTAATTGATATATTCAGGCTTATTTTTTTAGGGTTGAAATCCCCTACGTGTGCGGTTTTGATTTCAAGACCCTGGTTCGCAGAGGACACCAAAAAAGTCCTAGAAAAACAACTTAAACGTAACTAATGTCGTTTAAAACAGAGGAATAGTTTTGGTACCCTGGGGTCAGATTAGAATCGTCTAGCATGAAACACTTGAGGTCAAAGACATTCCTGCTAAAAAAGCGAGCAATGATTGAGAGTCAGAGCTAAACATTTCAGATGTATCTCACACTGCACTGTGACTTTAATTCATGTACCTTTGTTATTCATGTTTGCTTTTAAATGAGTGTTTTAAAATGCCATTTCATAATGTTTCTTAATGTCTTTCATGTTTGTAAAGCACTTTGAATTGCCTTGTGTTGAAAGGTGCTGTGTACATAAACTTGCATTTCCCCCTAATCCTAGCTACTTACTCTTGAATCTTGAAACTACATTTAATATTCACTCTTTTCACACTTGAACAGAATATATCCATAATAGAACAATGTGTTTATTTTTATATCTATATTTTAACCATTACCTGGCCTGGATTCTTATAAAAATGCAATTGGAAAAACATTAGAAAACTTCTAAACTCTCAGAGTGTGAACGAGGATCTAAATAACTGCTGATGACAATATTTTAAAAGTTGAAAGCATAATCAAATACTCAGTGGGCCAACATTTAAAAATGGGTGCTAGTCGAGGGCCGGACTGGTTCGATGTTTATTGAAATGAACTTATTGCACATATTAAACCTTGAACTAACAAAGCTTAAATTATTGCTATAAAAACAACATGAAACATTAAATAATCAGTTGCATTCATTTCTCATGGCTCTATCTCCAGAGTCATTTCTTATGAGTACATTTTTCCACAGGCCAACAACAGCTTCAACAAAACTATTCCCCTCAAAGAACAAACAAACATGCCCTGTTGTCGTGAGAGAGAAAGTGCAGAAGGAAACATCCATTGAACTCATGGCGCATTTCCACTGCAGCGGGTAGCTCGCTTTAAGCGTACCGAGCCGTGCGGGGCACGTTTTTTTCTCCACTTGGCCTAGTACCGGCTAGCGGGTCCTAATTCACAGTTTTTCTGGCCCCATAAAATCGTGGTTCTAGGGCCAGGAATAACCAGGCTGAGTCGAGTATGCTAAACTAGAGAGAGAATCGCTGGCAAGGGGGCTACAACTACAACAAGATGAACATATTTGACCGTGATTTTTACATTACATTACATTGCATTTAGCTGACGCTTTTATCCAAAGCGACTTACAATAGGTACATTCGACCAGGAAGACACAACCTTGAAGAAAACAGAATCATATAAGTACATCAGGTTTCATAGAGCCAAACATTTCAAGTGCTACTCAACTGGCTTTAGGTAAGCCAGCCCTTTATTAGTATATAAGTGCTCCGTTAGCAGTTCTTTGTTAGTAATTCTATCGCTCGAAGTGGAGTCGAAAGAGATGAGTTTTCAGTCTGCGCCGGAAGGTGTGTAAGCTATCTGCTGTCCTGATGTCAATGGGGAGCTCATTCCACCATTTTGGAGCCAGGATAGCAAACCCACGTGTTTTTGCTGATGGGAACTTGGGTCCCCCTCGCAGCGAGGGTGCAGCGAGTCGTTTGGCTGATGCAGAGCGTAGTGCACGCGCTGGGGTGTACGGTTTAACCATGTCCTGGATGTAGGAAGGGCCAGATCCATTCGCAGCATGGTACGCAAGTACCAGTGTCTTGAAGTGGATTCTAGCAGTTACCGGAAGCCAGTGAAGGGAGCGGAGGAGCGGAGTGGTGTGGGAGAATTTAGGACGGTTGAAGACCAGACGAGCCGCTGCGTTCTGGGTGAGCTGCAGAGGTCGGATGGCACATGCAGGTAGACCAGCCAGGAGGGAGTTGCAGTAGTCTAGGCGTGAGATGACGAGAGCCTGGACCAGAACCTGAGTCGCTTTCTGAGTCAGCTGGGGACGTATCTTCCTGATGTTGTAAAGCGTGTATCTGCAGCAACGGGTTGTAGCAGTGATGTTTGCAGTGAAGGACAGGTTGTTACCTAGGGTCACACCCAGATTCCTTGCAGTCCGATTTAATTGTAATACACGTTTCAAAATGATGCCGAAGTAACAACATACTGATACCGGTTAGTAAAAACCATGAATTAATGCTTTGACAAGTCTGCAGACAGACGGCAGGCGAAAAACCCTTTAAAATGCGTGTTTTCTAAATGGAGCTTGGCTAAGCTAACGTTATATATGCTCCGACCGTCCACACTCACAACAACGGCCTATACAGACATAAACAAACCAGCGACTGTATTCTCCATGACACAGGCAGTCTGTGGTTTGTACTTGTTTAACTTTTGTCAAGTTTCTGAACAGATATGAGGAGCTGTGAGCTCTGAGTGCTAAGAGCTAACGGCTGTGTTGTTTTTCTGGGGCTCTCATTGAAGATGACGTCACGGCTCCGCCTACACTGCGTTACTATAGTAACTACCCCAGTTCCTAAACTGTAATGGAAGCGCAGCATTAAAGTGAGCCGGGCCTAATAAGGCCTAACCAAACCGAGCGAGGCCTGCAGTGGAAACGCGCCATCAGGTTGCTGCTCTGTGATGCTAGTTCAGTTTGGCATCTCATCTTGGGTGCAAGTTCATAAATGTTTGGGCTCAGGCTCTGAGCGGAGGAGACCCCCAGGATGGAGTGAAGGTGTGCGTGCAATATACCGGCGGGCCAGACCTAATAGTGATTATAAATTATCCTGCGGGCCGAAATTAAATTCACCACGGGCCTGATTTGGCCCCCGGGCCTTGAGTTTGAGACCCCTGATCTAATGCATATTATTTAAAAACATTACAACCCACTGCTTGTGCTTTAACATGTTATTTATCTTGTTATGTAATATGTATATTTTATTCTTTTTTTACTAACATTTCCAGTTCTCTATGTTGCATGTTTTTATTGATTGTATTTAGTTGATATTTTAAATGACATTTTGACTCATTAGGGTTTCTGTCCAGCGACTGCAGATCAAAGCCTCTTGACTAATTCATATGCTCTAAGTAATGTGTCCCTGTTTGATAAATACATAAGAAGAGGGCTGGGAGATCTTCTTCCAGACCCTCAGAGTGTGATCTGATGTCTCTCTCTCTGCAGTGACGATCATCAGCGGGATCATCATGTTGATCCTGTTCGTCTCCGAGCTGCAGTATTATCTCACTAAAGAGGTGAGTCTTGCTTCTGTCACCTGACCGCCTCGTCAAGAAACACTTTGATTGGTCCTAGTTTGGGATGAGATAAGATAAGATAGTCCCCTTGTTATAAACAATCTGAGGCTTCTGTGTTGAGGATAAGATCAGAAGTACTGTATTGATCCCAATGTGGGACATGTTTGCGCTGCAGCAGCATACAAAGACAAGGCATTACATTAGAGACATTAAAAGACTAGAAATAAATAATCCCAAATGTAAACATCTCAAATATAAATAAAATAGCATTCAAAAAGTAAAACATGTGGAAATACAAATGTGTATATATAGCACTTTCCATCTCACACTAAGTGCTTCACAAACCAGCTATACATGTAGAAATGTTGAATTACAAATGTACAGTGACGACATTAAAGCAGGATATTATACAGAAGTATGTGACGAATGGAATATTACATATTGGATTGCATTCCCCCTATGCAAGCCCCTCCCTCTGAACCCAGGGATCGCTACAATACTGTATACTGTATACACAAACTATACAAAAACGCCTTTACGCTTTGGAGCTTGTTTATCCATCTGTAAGCAACTGCCAGCTAGGTCTCTCAGTCACTCACTCCTGATCGTTCACTGCGCAGTGACAGCTGCTCCGGGCCTGATGTGTGAAAGTGAAACTGATAGATAGAACAAAGGTAGCCTATCAAAACGGCCCAGCCCAGTGGGCCACACCCCACTGGGCTGGGCCGGAACACTTACAAATGTGGGCTGGTAGGATTCAGGATTTTCTTTTTTTTTTGGGCCCTCCGGCCCACACACAGCACCGGCCCACCGGGGACACTCCCGGTATTCCCAATGGCCAGTCCGTCCCTGGTGGGGAGGACACTCGAATTCCCTGATAAATGATTCATGGGCAAAGTTTTTCTTTTGTTGTATTTAATAAAGTAATAAAGAAAGTCAATACATATAGTGGAATGGATCTCAAATGCAGGAACAGAGCTGCTTATAACGTGGCTTTGCACCCAGAACACGGCCTACAGTCAAAGCCCTTTCACTTATTTGCATAACAAGCTTGAGATGTGCCTTTCTTATTTCCCCTCGTTATAAGCAATCTGAAGCTTCTGTTTTGAGGCTAATAATAAAAACGCCTTTTGTTGAACGTAAAGCAGCGTTCAGGCTTCAGGAAGCTCTTCCTGTCAGACCGGTCCGACGACCACAGCACACTGACTGAGACCTCCTTTTGCAAACGGAGAGTACTTCAGGAATGCTGCTTCTGTTCCACTTCTGCTCTGTTTGTCGTGGTTTTCCTATGAAGCACGGCGTCAATAAATGATCCTTAAAGCATTATATAATCATATAATACAATACAGCTTCATCCTGAAAGCAAATACGTTATTTTGTCCGTCCAACACCCCTAAGATATTCACTTTATTGTATATAGACCTTTTTGTATTTCTGTATTTTATTAAATATGTTGCATCGTTGGAGGAGCTCAGGTCAGAATAATTTCATTGCCATTTCTACACTGTAGCTCATGTGCATATGACAATAACACCTTTCAATCTTCTTGTAATGTAAAACTGAGAAAAAGCAGATTATCTTCATATTTGAGAAAGTTAAAACTGAATTTCCCGACATTTTTGCTGGAAAAGTTACTTTAAGACCTATTATTTCCTGATCATGGCAGCTCTGAGCCTCAAACATGTTTTGTGTTTTTTTTGTACACTTTAAATGAATTGTCCTTTCCCTGCAGGTTCACCCTGAGCTGTACGTGGACACGTCGCGAGGAGACAAACTCAAAATCAACGTAGACGTGCTTTTCCCTCACATGCCCTGCGCCTGTAAGTGGCTCCGCTGTTACCTAGCAACATACTAACTGTTGGGAAAATAGTGAATGTCCTCTTCCAATGTGAGAGTCACATGATAACAAAGGTATCCCAACTGTAGCTGTGAACATGACAGGATGTGTGATTACCTAGAAGAGCATCAGGACTGTTTGAGGCATATGATAGCTCTGTGATTAACATGATGATTCAGCCTCTATGGAGAGAGACATCAAGCATGCTCATTTCTGACGTGGAGCTAATCTGAAGTAAACATTGAATACTGCTTTCTCCATCTTGTGACTGTGTAACTCCCTCTCTTGGATATCAGCATGTGAAGGACACTGTTCAGGAACTAGTCTCTGTATGTGATGACTACTTCCATTCTGGAGAGGATCCCAGACACATGGATCCTGATGTATGGCTGCTCGATTATGGCAAAAATCATAATCTCGATTATTTGGGTCAATAATTGTAATTGCGATTATTAAATGCGATTATTCATTGACTTTGAAAACATCCATTTATTAGAGAATTTTTTTTTAACAGTACGTTTTTAACAGTTGATTACCCTGAACTTTAAGTATAATTCAACTGAAAAACCAAATAAAATTAATAATAATAAAATAATCGTTTTATTTCGATAACGTTGTTTTCGTAATCGTTGCAAGCCATAATCGTAATCACGATTTAAAATAAGATTAATTGAGCAGCCCTACCCTGATATTGAAGCTCAAGACGGTGACCAGTGAGATTTGTCTAACAGTAATGACCACATCCTATTATCTATAAACAGTTCTTCCTCTCTTCTCCCTCCTCTTCCTCTCAGATCTCAGTATAGATGCGATGGACGTGGCCGGCGAGCAGCAGCTGGACGTTGAACACAATCTGTTCAAACAGCGGCTGGACAAAGACCTGAAGCCTGTCACCAACGAGGCAGAAAAACACGGTAAAATCTCACTTTAATTTATCACCCTGACTTCAGAAATCAACATGTTTTTCACTTTTAACTTTCTCTTAAAGCTCAGACAATGATTTGTAAACCATCCTGGAACAACAGTGTTTTCAAAGAGACCTCACAAAGCTTAAAAAGAATATGAATAAGAATATGAATAATAGATGTGTACGGAGAAACCGTCTTTTGTTATTATAGCCCCAAATCACACATTTTACATTGGTTGTTTGGGAAAAACTCCTAAAGAAACCCAACAATAAACAGAGGACATTTTGTTATATTAAACTCCGGGAGAGCAACAAACGAGGACCCTTTTTCATAGGATGTGCTATAGATGTACATTACAACATAGACAGTCCAAATACTAGAGAATATATATAAAGAGGAAGATGGATCCAGAGTAGGGCTGAACGATATTGGCAAAAACTGTTATTGCGATATGAAAAAATACAGGAATTGAAGAAAAGACCGTTTTTTTCCCCCCGCAAACCATCCTTTCTTGAACTTTAATGCTATACGATGGTATTCTTTTAACTATATTTAAGCGGATGAAGGATTTTAGTCACGGATGTCTGGATCGTAAGTTATCAGAGCAACAAGCTGAGCTAGCTCGGTTAGCAGCGCCGAACTGGAGAAACACATGAAACCACTTTATTCAGTGTTTTGACCTTTAATCACCGGGTCCGGTTGCTTTCGAGATTTGATTGTGATCGGTGGTTTGCTGTCACTCACTCAAGTTCCCCTGACATGAGAGCTGTGCAAGTTTTCCTTTTGTAGCAAGCAGCAAAACGAATTGTAACATGACGTGTTTGAGTTAATTTGCCTACTTAAAGAGCAACTTGCAGGTTTTTTTTTTTCTACATTTATGCTTAAACTTGCTTGAAAATTACAATTAAAAAAAGTGAATGCAGGATTTGATGTTTTACGAGACATAAGGGCAGTGTGGGGGAAACTTCTGTGTAGCAATGCAGTGGGAGTCACCGACTCATGAAGGAGACACGGGAAGAGCACGAGCTTTGATGTCAAACACTGATGGTTTATTTGGAGCTTCGGCCAGAGGATTCACATCACAAGTCCAAGAGCCAGAGGTTCTGACTTCACGGGAGAGTTGCCACGTCAATTCTGGAGCGCCTCTCTCTCGTTAGCCCATTTAACTGGTTTCGCAGAGAGTCATCAACATGTTTGAGAAGATAGCCTAAATAGTTGGGAACACTGAGTTATTTGCATCTGACACTTATGGCCTCGAAGATTTCACACCTTGGAGTCCACAAACACCGAGAAGGAAGTGTCCCAGTGTACCCACAACAATAAACCATCTGTGACCTAGGGTTGCCCGGTCACAGAATGGGAACAACAACATTATGGCTGAAGCAGCCTATCTCCTTAAAGGAGATAACAGACGTCAGGGTTGGTCATGCACGTCATGTCTAGGAGTCTAGGACAATTATTTCCCTAACAGGCAGGAATTCAGAAGGAAAGGAGCAATTTTGAGCTCTGCTCTTAAAAACGGCTTTTTTTTAAGGTCATACATCAATATTTAAGGTTCTCCTCACACCACAGCTCCATTTCTCTCCGATGGCCATTATTTCTTCTGATCCTTGGCTGCTCCTGGTCTCTTGGAGGCTCATAATTATAAGGTTGTGGTCCGTCATATGCATACGGATATACATGTTCAACTTCTTCTGTGTCGAAACTAGCATTGGGATCCATGTTTATTAATACGTTACACCGGCCGCTCTCCCCCTTGTTTACCCTTTGTTACGTCACACGCAGGAGGTCACGTGGGGAGGCTTTTTTGATGCGGAAGTAAAAATGTCTTACAAAAACGACGCCAGATGTCACTGTAGTGTATATGTATATTTTTTTGATAATCTAGTGTATTCGTCATTTTCCTACACATTTATTCACAGGTGTCTTTAACCTGGAAGTTGCTCTTTAATATCGCACGTCCTAAAAAATATATATATATCGTGCAGCCCTAATCCAGACTGATGTCAACTATGTTCTGGGTTCGACCAAAAATAAAAATAAAGATCGTCAGGCTTGAACACAGCAACAGGTCCTCTTTCTGCAGACAGGAAATACTTTCAGCTGGAAAAACAACTTTTTGTAGAAAAACAAATGGAAAAACGTCAGGACTTTTGATGTAAAATATGTCAGTAATCGTTAAACAGTAGTGTGCCAAGACTTGGAGCTATTTTCTGAAGTCTTTTTTGACTATTTATACATTCATGTGACCTCTCTGAAGTCTACATATTCTGATAGCTTAGTTTGTCCTGAAAGTAAAGATGTGTTTTGACTCGATTACAGGGTTCATGTTTTACAGGCTCTTTTACACAAAGCGAACAAAACGTACAAAATAAGGGCTTAAACTTAAAAAAATAAAAATACAAGGTTATATTTGACGTTTTCCGGTAGTTTCAGGTTGTTGAA